ACATAACCTTCCATCCTCTGACATTTCACAACATACATCGAACAAAAATGAAACCGTTATTAGTGAATGAAAAAACCGCACCGGGAACGACTCATCATCGTGTCTCTGATGCTATCGATTCCAAACAAAAACTAGTTATTTGGAAATCACATGCTAGTTGATTGATGTAAACTAACAACTTACCCATCAACAGCAGACGTAACGGTTCTTCTCTATACACAAATACATATGTAATGGATATTTACTACACATAGACCATACCGGAAGTAAACATAAAACCAAGCATAGTAAATTCAAAATCTGTAATAACCGTAAACCGAAAGGAGAACTCAAACGCAGAAAGAGAAATCAAAAACGTGTACTTACATAAACCTTTTAAATTCATAGCAAAACCAACACACTCACAGTAAGACAGCTAGATCTCAGAAGAAAAAAAAAACAAAACAAAAAAGGCAAATGAGTCTAGCAATATGATAACGAACAAAAGCAAGCAGTAAATTAAAAGTAGTGGGAAATATAGTATATTTAAAAACGCTCTGATGCGGACCTAAATTTTAAACAAAAGTCAAATCGACGAAAAACGATGACGAAGGAGAGTAAAATAGAGATTCCATATTCCACAATTGTTACCGAAGAGAAGACCACAATGAGGATGTGCGAAATGAACTTGATTCTAGCTCGATTTTATTTGTTTTAAACAGAACAAAATTCTACACTTTACTAGAGGGAAAACAGAATCATAACACTACAGATTAAACAAGAAAACAACAGTGTATGTTCTACTACTACTACCACTACTACTACTACTACTAACTACTAAAACAACTACTACTTCTACTTCTACAAAACACTGAACTCGGTCGATAATATACTAAACCTAGCTACAACAAGAAAGAATAACTACAAGAAAAACGACGCAGCAGTCAACATCTTTTTCCCTCTCTACTCTAAACGTAACTCACAAATACAGACAAGCGCATACACGTACTCATAAATACTAGATCTACTGCGAAATGGCATTACACACATACAGACAAGCCGGATGATACAGAAATGAAATGAAGTGAAAAAAAAACTCTTTTTAAGTGTAAATCTCTATATCTCTACGTACACATAAGTGATTGGGAATAAAAATAAAGTGGAATAATGAAAAGGATTGCATGGAATGCTGGAAAGCTCTTTTAATTAAAAACAAAAATACTATTGATATTATATTAACTATGGATAAATTAAAAAGAAATATAAAGAAGAACTTAGCAGTAATAAACAAAAAAAAATATTATCTCTATTGAGATACAAAATATATGTATTTAACTGAATGACGGAAGAACGAAGCTGCTAACAAATTCGTAGTGAAATGACGGAGAAATTCAGATAACAGAAAAGAAAATGAAGAAACGAGAATAAAATTTATTTATACATAACAAGTAAGCAATAAAATCCATATATAAAACACAGATTAAGCAAAGCAGTTGTAAGGATGAAGACAAAAAATGGCATAAAAATAGACAAAACAAAAAAAAATAATGTGCGATCACCATATACATTATACAAGATCACACATACCCTATTGACATTTATCCCATTGTAACTTTTTAGCGGAGAAGCGGTAAGCACCGAAAGTAATATTTTTACCTTAAACAAAAAAAAACAACCACAACCACAAATGGAAATTCATTGCAAAGAGCATCAAAAGATGACAGCCAGACGTAAGAAAAAAAAAATAAATAAAACCCTAAACGATGCGGTGGTGTAGATTGGAAAAAAAACTAATTTATACATGTAGAAAATTATAAGAAAGAGAAATATATACACATACATGCATACATACATTGAGAGCAAAAAAAAACACATTGTCACATATTGAAAAAAAAAACAAAACAAAAAAAGCAAATGACAGCAGCAGTAAAACTAGAAGGTAAATGATGAGATCTACTAGGAAGATGAAGTAAAAAAAAAAAAACACAAGTCGGTGATATTTTTAGAATATATTAAACACGTAAGAGAATTATACATTTACATTGAAGAACGACGAAAGTTTCTGTTTTCGGTTTTTTATTGACAGGGCATGATGAGCGAATCGTTCAGGATCGCAAGCAAGAGAAAGAGATAGCGAGAAAGCGAGAGAGAGAGCGATAGAGAAAGAAGGAGAAAATTGGCAAGTTAACTAGATTTCCGAAATTTTGTTGCACGCTTCAGAATGATGGATCGAATTGCCAGTTTGATGAGTTTGACAGCAGTGTTCGGAAAGGCTTCCCGGATTCGAACCACCACTGAAGTTACGCATTGTAATATCAAATGTCTTCCAAAATGTATAAATCTTAGAAGTTTGATTTGTTATACGCGGTATTGGTTGTCCGGTTTTGTGAATTTGTTATTACGAAGAAGAAGAAAAATATAGGCAAATGCGTTTTGTGTTGTGGCGGCTTAGCGACACTGGGGGAAGTAGTAGATTAGATATTGGGCTTGAGATAATGGTTCGGATTTGTGGAAGCTTTTGGGAGCTGTGGACACTCGGGTTGTACTGGATGGTGATTGTGGTGTGGTGGTTGTTTGCTCCAAGCATCCAGGGGTTGCGGTTGTGAGTTCCATCTGTGATTCCACCGCAATACTGTCTAACAGAATCTGGACAAACGAAGAACTTCGATAGTGCTCCATATGTAGTAAGTATTTCGTTGCAGGTTCTGACATTCAATTTTTAGTTATAAATCTAATGGAATCCTGTTATGAATTACAACGTAATCTAATATGGAGTTTCACAGAATATCATGGGAATCTTCTTTAGATTAATTTAGCTTTCCAGCTTTCTGGAAATTCATCGGTCATCGACGGTTCCGGTGGGTGTTTCGGCTGGTGCGATTGTTCGCAACAGGCTCATCTCGCAGCTTCACAGGGATAATCAATGGAAGGCAGCAATGGCAATGGCAGCAATGGCAATGGCAGCAATGGCAGTAAACCAACGATCAACAATATTGCCCAGGATGTTTTGCGGTAAAGGTGGAATATCTGTACGTGAAATGATGAATAAAAAATGATGAAATTGTGACGCATTACCCTGGGCAAGGACTGGGCACTTACTTCTTGAATCAGGTGGTTTTGATGTAGAAACCCAAAAGACTTGAGCCGAATTCGACACATTTATGGCAGCAGGATCAACCTCGAGCGGAAGAGTGCCTAGCTCTGCACACTTGATGGCACACTTGATTCTGTGTCGTGACCCACACTCACCAGTCGGCACTCGAATGGATGTTGAGCGTCCGTACAGGCCATTTCTGTGAGGGAAGCTTCTTGTCATTGTCGAGAGCTTTATTACAGTGATAGCAGTTTTGCAGTGTACTCCTAGTAGCCACGTGACCAGGAATAGAGTCTTGTCTCCAAAATAAGCTGCTGTTGGGCCTTGTGTTCAGTGATTTGCCGATCAGGAAGTGACCCAGGGTGGATGCGAACTTGCGGAGTGTTTGGGTTTGGGTGATAGTTGAGCATTTACATTAGCGCAATTTACACCCTAATAAAATGGTTATGGCTATTTTGCTTAGCGACGTGTTCGGGGTATCATCCAAACCATTTGTGGAATAGTTCTATTATTTGGTTTATCGTTGGTTTATGGTTATTTTTTTACCAACATGAATGTTCATAGAAATTATTATTAAATTTCTGCTCAAATCACACTAGTGACAGCTGTCTCCGTGTTTGCGGAAAACGTTTATCTAAGCCACGGTCACGCGTGCAAAATATATGAGTTGGTTCGCGTCTGATCTGGACACGTTATTTTGGTTGTGAAGGTTTTAACAGATGGTGTCGCTTCACATTTGACCCGGCCGTTATAGATTTTCGACCCAAAATTAAGTTCATGTTGGTTCGTCACAAATTTTACGAAAGCTTCCCATCTTCCAATAACCGAAGCCGTCATCACTCTCGACACAGGCGTAGCCAGATTGGAAGCAGGGAGGGGGCAACTTCCCTCCCCTAAACTCAGCAACACAAAGGCTTTCGGTGAAATGGCATTCGGCCAAAACCTGGCTACGCCCTTGACTCTCGAGCTACCGATTCCACAAACAAAGTCCATTGCGTTATCCCAAAAGATATGCGCAGGCTTCCCTCTTCGACTGGTTAATCGTCGAAGGCAGACTGAATCACTAATGAGGTTAGAAGTCAGTCACAAATTAAATAAGGGTCTTCCACGCAGATGCTGTTGCGGAGAGATTATTCAAGATGAAGGTGGAATCAACTGACGTGTGTAACCTGAACTGGGAAAGGTTTGTAGATTTTTTGATGGATTTGCCTCAATAGTGAGTACTAACCAAGTTTGTCGGGGCCGAGGTCGGTAGTGTAGTAGTAAACGTGACTGCTTCTCACCCAGTGTGTCTGGGTTCAGTCTCATCCGAGGCTGGTAGGATTTTTCTGAGCCATACATTGCTCTAGTCACGTATTCCTTCGGAAGGGCAGTACAGCCGTTGGCCCCGGCCCATGTCATGAGGGATGCGATATCTACCCAGGTGTGGAATCTGTCTCCCTGGCATTCGATTGCCGTCAATGATGGCAAACTATGTCCGTCAGTGATTGACACTCGATTGCGAAACAGAGACCGACATTAAATAAAGGAATTAAGAAGAAGAGTTTATCGTGACTCAGATGAGGTCTACCATCATTCCATTGGTGAACATCTGCATTTTAGCCTTCAAATGTACTCCACTTGGACAGTGTTGGGGAGAGTTAATTCTAGACGAAAGTGCAGACATGTAGATTGTGGTGGAAATATCGACGTTGATCGTAGCTAGAATCTACCGGAGCGACATTTGATTTCGAAATCAGCAGTCGAACTATCTCAGGTGTTCGAACGAAAGCTATGTATTTTTGCTTGAATTTCAGAGATTGTTTCCTTTTTGACGAGTTAGAGTATTCAAAGGTCTTGCATTAAAATCTACACTTTCGAAAAGCTCGCTTCAAAAAGAACCAGCAGGTTGAGCGATCTGCTGATTTGCTACAGGCTGCATTTGATCGTTTGATCAGCGTGAAGAACTCCATCCACTGTGGTGATCGATTGATTGGTAGCATGAATTTCAACACAAAACTTCAGCGCCAATTACTTTAATTCTTGAATCGCTATAGAATTGTGTCTGGGATTCCATCACTATTTTTCCCTAAAATGCTTAAATCCAGTTGGATTCCAACAGAAACCAACCTTGCATTACAATGACATCCAGCTTTGGTTCTGATGGAATCCAGCCTTGGATTCTGATTAAATTCATCCTTGGATTCTGATGGAATCGAGCATTGCATTCTGATGAAACCCAGCCTTGGATTCTGATATAATCCAGCCTTGGATTCTGATGGAATCCATCTTTGGATTCTGATGGAATCAAGCCTTGAATTATGATCGAATCCAGCCTTCGATTCTGATGGAATCTAGCCTTGGATTCTGATGGAATCCAGCCTTGAATTCTGATGGAATCCAGCCTTCGATTCTGATGAAATCCAACATTGGATTCTGATATAGTCCAGTCTTGGATTCTGATGGAATAGAAACCTAGGATTATGATGGATTTCAGCGTTGGATTCTGATGAAATCCCGCTTGGATTCTGATGGAATCTAGCCTTGGATTCTGATGGAATCAAGCATTGTATTCTCATGAAACCCAGCCTTGGATTCTGATGGAATCCAGCCTTGGATTCTGATGGAATCCAGCCTTGAACTCTGATGGAATCAAGCCTTCGATTCTGATGAAATCCAACATTGCATTCTGATGTAGTCCAGTCTTGGATTCTGATGGAATACAACCTAGGATTATGATGGAATTCAGCGTTGGATTCTGATGAAACCCAGCCTTGGATTCTGATGGAATCCAGCCTTGGATTCTGATGATATCCAGCCTTGGATTCAGATGGAATCCAGCCTTGGATTCTGATGGAATCTAACCTTCCTATGGAATCTAGCCTTATTTTCTGACGGAATCCAGCCTTGGATTATCATGATGGAATCTAGCCTTGAATTCTGATGGAATCCAGCCTTGGATTCTTGTGGAATCCAGCCATGGATTCTGATGGGATCCAGCCTTGGATTATGATGGAATCCTATTTTGGTTTCTGATGGAATCCAGCCTTAGATTCTGTTGAAATCCAACCTTGGATTCTGTTGAAATCCAGCATTGGATTCTGATGGAATCCAGCATTGGATTCTGATAGAATCCAGCATTAGATTCTGAATGCAATATTGGATTCTGATAGAATCCAGCCTTGGATTCTGGTGGAATCCAACGTTGAATTCTGATGGAATCTAGCTGTGGATTTTAATGGAATCTAGCCTTGGAATCTGATGCAATCCAGCCTTGGCATCTGATGGAATCCAGCCTTGGATTCTGATGGAATCCAGTTTTGGATTCAAATGGAATCTAGTCATGGATTCCAATGGAATCTAGTCATGGATTCAAATGGAATCTGTTCATGGATTCCAATAGAATCTAGTCATGGATTGCAGTGGAATTTAGCCTAGGATGCCAACGGAATACATTGTATTCGAATAGAATGTATATTTAGATTCCAATGGAATTCAGATTTGGGTGCAAATGGTTCTGTATTCCAAACTCAGCCTGATATTCCAAAATAATTCTGCCTTATACTCCTATGAAATCCACTACTAGAATAAAATGGAAATCCAAATGAAATTCAGCCTTGGAATCAAATGGAAAATAACTTTGAATCCCAATGGAATCTTGTCATGGATTTCAATCGAATCTAGGCATGGGTTTCAGTGGAGTTCAGCCTTAACTTCCAACGGAATTCAGCCTAGAAAGCCATCGGAAGAGAATACAGATTTAGTTCCCAATGGAAAAACCGTTCTGGAATCCAATGGAATTCAGTTCTGTATTCCAATGGGATTCAGTTCTGGATTCCAATGGAATGCAGCCTTATATTCTAATGAAATCCACTATCAGATCCAAATGAAATCCAGCCTTGGATTCCAATGGACTCCAGCATTGGATTTCAAATGAATCCAACCTTGAATTCTGATGGAATCCAGCCTTGAATTCTGATGGAATCCAGCCTTGAATTCTGATGGAATCCAGTCATGGATTCTAAAGGTATCTAGTTGTGGATTCAAATGGGATCTAGTCATGGATTCCAGTGGAATTTAGCCTAGGATACCAACGGAATACAGTTATGTATTTCAATAGAATGCAGATTTAGATTCCAATGGATATCTTTCTGGATTTCAGTGGAACACAGCCTGATATTTTAAAATAATTCTGCCGTATACCCTTATGAAATCTTTACAAGAATCCTATGGAAATCCAGTCTTGGTTTTAAATGAAACCCAGCCTTGGATTCTAATGGAATATAGCTTTGAATGCCAATGGAAGCTAGTCATGGAGTAGATGGAATTCAGTCTAGAAAGCCATTAGAATACAGTTTTGAATTCCAAAAGAATGCAGATTCAGATTCCATTGGAATTCAGTTCTGGAGTCCAATGGAATTCAGTTCTGTATACTAATGGGATTCAGTTCTCGATTCCAATGGAATTCAGCCTTATATTCTAATGAAATCCACTATCGGATTCAAATGAATTCAAGCCTTGGATTCCAATGGACTCCAGTATTGGATTTCAATGGAATCCAACCTTGGATTCCAATTAACTCCAGCATTGGATTCCAATGAAATCCAGCAATGGAATTAATTAATGGATTTCAGTGGATACGGTTCCAACGGAATTGGGTCAAGGATTCCAACAAAATTCAGTCTTTTATTCAAAAAAAAAACTTTTTTTTTTGATTACAATGGAATTCCATTGAATTCGTGATGTTGATTGCAACGGAATTCTGCCTTGGATTTCAAAGGAATCCAGTCTTAGATTTAAATGAATTTCAATGGAATCCAGCTTTGCATTCTTCTGGAATCCAGCCTTGGATTCCAATGCATTCCAACCTTAGTGATCCCAGCCTTGAATTGCAATGGAACACAACTTTGGACTCCTTACTAATCTATCCAATGGAATGCAGTATTGGTTTTCTTATGAACATAAACAAGGGTTACAACAGAATCAAGTCTAGTAATTAAAAACCGGAATCCAGCATTGGATTTCGATGTAAATTTTGTCTTAAATTCCAGCGGAATCTAGCTTTGATTTCCAACGGATTCCAAAGGAATTGAATCATGAATTCCTATGGAATTAAGTTTTAGTTTCCTTCGAAATCCCTAACAGGGTTCCATCGAAATCCAGCCTTGGGTTTCAACGGAATTTAGCCTTCGTTTTCAGCGGAATCCAGCCTAAGATTCTAATGAGTTCAAACGGTATTCTGCCTTACATTCTTACGGAATCCAGTCTTACGGATTTCAGCTTTGAATTTTGACGGGATACAGTTTATAATTCCATTGGAATCTAACCTTGAAAACCAATTGAATCCAATATAGGATAGCAACGGAAGTCGGTTTAGGATTGCATCAGAATCTAGTTACCAATTCCAATGTAATCTAATCTTGAATTTATGTAAATCCAGTCTTGGATTCCAATGAAATCATGATTTGTATTCCTACGAAATCCTTAACCGAATGTCATCGAAACTCAGCCTTGGTTTCCACTGTAATCCAGCTTTGGATTCTATCGGAATCCAGCCTTGGATTGCAGTAGAATCTGGCCTTTGCTTCAAACGAAATTCTCTCTTGAATTGAAGGGAAAAAGTTATGGATTTCTACGGAATTTAGCTAAGGAATCCTTCGAAATCCAGCATTGGATTCCAATATAATCCAGCCTTGAATCATAATGAAGTCTAGTTTTTGATTCCATTGGAATTCAGCCTTGAATTTCAATCAAATCCAGCCGTGGATTCTTATTGATTCCAGCCTTGTATTCCACTAGAATCCGGCCTTGACTCCTAATGTAATCCAGCCTAAAATCCAAATGGAATCTTTCCTAGGATTTGAATGGAATCCAGCCTAGGAACCGAACGGAATCCAACCTAGGATACAAATGGAATCCAGTTTAGGATCCGAATGGAATCCAGCCTAGGATCCGAATGGAATCCAGCCTAGAATCTAAATGGAATCCAGCCAAGGATTTGAATGGGATCCAGTCTAAGATCCAAATGGAATACAACCTTGCATTCGAACGGAATCCACAGCTTTGGCTTCCAAAGAAATTCAGTCGTGAATTTCAACGGAATTTACCTTTGAATATCTACAGAATTCAGTCATGTAGTACAATAAAATCCACCCCCAGATACGAATGGAATTCGGTTTTAAATTCCAACGAAATTTAGTCTTGGACTAAGACAAAAGTCCAGTCTCAGTTTCCAACGCATAACCCGCAATAAATTTTACCTTCAATCCATCCAATCCAGTACTGCACCGAGAATTTCGAAAACGTCAAACTGGCCGCAGTCTTGACAAGCTTTCTAGATTTCCAGCAGCGCTAAAAGATAGATAATCCTGTTTTTTTATTTATCAGAGGAAATGTCCATCATTCCAAATCGTCTCTATTTTTTTGGAATCCTTTTTTTTACAGTAGGTGCCGAAACCTTTGCCTGTTCGAACCAGTAGCCCGTAGTCAGTCCCATTTGTTTCAAACGTTGATCCCGAACAACAACCCTTCCTCCTTCCATTGGATGCGGACAATAATTATCAGAACAAAAAAAAAAAAAACGAAACTTGATTGAAATCGAAATTTGCGATTAAAAACAAAAACAGAAATTTTTTAGATGAGCATTTTTTTTTCAAACTTTGGAAGCTGAATTCCAACTCGATGCGGAAACGAATCTTGTTGTTGTTTGATATTTTGGATGTTCGACAGAAACAAAAAAATACGGTTTTTTTTTTCTTCTTAGTAGTGAATGCAAGTCTTTTCAATTGAGGAGAGGAACATCTCTTGCCAAAGTAGAAGCTAGTAGGAGAGGACGACCGGTGTAGTGACGGAAGTGAGGTTAGGAAATTTTTTAAATATTGATAGAAATATTTAGCGAACACAAAAAGGAAAAACAGTGATAGCTGCGATGCTCTGCGACACTTTGTTGGTATCCTATTGAAAAGCGAGTAGGCTTTGTGAGTTCTTTGCTTGATCAACGTTATTTATTTATTTAATTTCCTATTTATTTATTTATGACATAGGGTAGCGAATTACTCGGCTAGGATTTGTGTTTATTTTATGTTGTGGAACAATTGATCAACTGCCAAATTTTACATGGAAAAATTGTAGGAAAATTTTAGAATTGGTTCCGTTTGAAAGGCCCCTTCCACAAATGCATTGATCTCGTTTTTTACATTACGTTTTAAATATGCTATTTTTCTTTCAATTGTTTAGCATAAAAAAAGTTAAATAATGCAAAACTGTGAGAACAATAATGAAGAACTAAAAAGCGAAGAAACGAAATTATTTTTATCCCAAAAGCAATAAGTGCGTCGGAATGAATAAAAAGAAGAATAAGAAGAAGAAGAAGAAGAAGCGCAGACTAAATTTTCAAACAATACATTCAAAAACCTGATTTTCTCCATCGAAGCAAAGAATAATACTTACAGAAAAAAAAACGGTAAAGAATATTAATGAGAATACTTATTATATTTACTTATGAAGTCGATTCAAAACTGATACCTTAAATACTAGTGAATACTAAACAAAAAAAAAAGAAATAAGCAAACGCACTCCTTTAGATTAGCCGAAGGAAACCGAATGTAGGCAAATGGATCGTTTTACGACTAAAAAAAAATGAATGGAAGACATATACTAGCTAAAAGTACGTGTAAAGTAAGGCAAAAATCTTTAAACAGAAATAAAAATGAGTACATATGGTTGTGTCAAAAAGTAAAAAAAAAATTATACATGAGAAAGCATGAGGTAAAATAAGCATGAAGTAATACACATAAAAAGAAAATACAACTAAAATATACTCTACACATAAGTGAAATCAATAAAACAGAAAATAAACTATATAGATGAAATCAGATAAATCTAAGAAAAGAAGAAAAAAATACAAAAAACAAACTAGATTATTTATACAAAAGATATTTATGGTTATGGTTGCCGGATCCGGTCGGTTGATTCGACGGATCCAGGAGCCACTATCCTTGTTCCTCGATCCCATCCCACCCTCCGGTTTTCCCCCTCAGCATTTTGTTTGGATTGGCAACGGATGTTGGAAGTAGAAGCTTTCGCAAAAGATTTCAAACTTTGTTTTAGTTTAAACTTGTTCCTCCTCTCCCTCAATCGTAGTGAGCCAAAACGCTGCCTAGCACAACGACAGCAGTGGTGGTTCAAATCACCGCCCACTTTGTTTCTTAAACTCAGATGCTTCATTCCAGCATTCGGATTTTAAGTGTTTTGGTTTAGTCCTCAACCAGCTCCCATTCCTCAGAGAAAGAAAAAAAAACTACAGTGAGCGTCTGATTTTGGCAACTTGGCACTTTGCTTTCGGCAAATTTTAATAATTGAAAACTAGATGAAATCCAGTTTACGACAATTGTTTTGAAAAGTCGTGGGAAACGGTTAGGCTATTCGCAAAGTACAGAGGGCAAGTAAAATTAAGAAAGGACATCGGAAACGTGTTGCCGAAAACGGACGTTCACTGTACAGTCAATTGACAACAGCTAGAATGCGAGAGAGTCTAGAGCCAAAATTAGTTTCGAAACTAGGTTGACTATCCCCATACTTGAAAAAAATTTCCACTAAATCTTTTTACATATAATAAGCTATAAATTTTATATATGAAAAAAATAATGTGATAGAATTAAATTATATATACTATTGTACTGTAAAAAAAAAACAAATCTAAAACTGGTATATATACACAAAAATATATTAAGACGAGGATGAAGCTAATCTAGCATAAAACATAAATATTTCCTAACCGGTGGAATATTTAACTTAAAAAAATCTTTATACCCCATATAAACCATTATTAGCAAGAAGTGAAAAACGTAGTATGGAAGATACAAATCAAATCAAACTGAGCGCTAACAATTACATAAAATAAGCACACACAGACACATTCATACTAAATTCGTAGGGTAAATAACAGTCAATCCCGTCTGAAAATTTCGCAAACCTTCTCAACCCAGGTGAATAATTTTTAGGTCTTAATATTTCTACCTAAGTTTTAAAATCTTGAAACCCTTTTATTCATGTTCTGATTCCAAAGCTTTTTCGTTGAGTTGCTCACTTTTTTCGTACTGATTGATCGAAAATTTTGTCAATTTCTTCAAATAAACATAGGAAATTGAGTCAATAACATTGAATTGAATGTCAGTCAATAAGGCGAATCTAAGAACATTTTGACAAGTAAACGAAGCGAAAGCATAATAATTAGATTTATGGAAAACAAAAATCCACTTTACAAGCAATTACTTACAGTATCAATTATCCAAATCTAAAAAAAACGAAGCAAAACCGCTCGCTCTCCCCCAATCAATAACTGAGCAATTAAAACGTTTCAATTAAAAACAAAACCATCCTCCACACTGGGAGGTGAGGTTGTCAAAAAATAATACCATTTGCTAAAAGCTATCTTAGTTGCTAACGTAATATCTACCAGGAATTAGATTTTATCTCCTCAATTTATCAAAACTAAACAACAACAACCACACAGAAAAACGCACGGTCTAACAAACCCGGTTAGCTCTTCTTTCAAGTTTGACAAATTTTAGACAAAAACATAAAAAAGCATAAACAATGGCACAGCCTTTTGCAGTACTTATGACTACAAACAAAATCCAGAACAAGAAGAAGAAAGATACAGAATGAACAAAATAGATCTACTACTACAGTAAAGGAAAACATAGAATGACAGCCACATCTAGTAGTACTACAACAACTATGGTGGTCTCTTTTAGCTACTTTTAACCAGAATACAAAAATTTGAAACACAGCGTAGACAACAAACAGCAAAAGATAAAAAAAAAATCACACACACTCACACACAAACACACACTAATCACAATTGTGAAAAATAATCAAATCAAAACAAAAGCATCTTATTTATCCAAAACAGCAAAAAATACTTTTAGCCTGCAAACACAACTAACCAACCGAACGAAAACAAAGCATATTACTTAGTAGAAGCGCACCGAACGCTGCTAACTATCGTTGAAAATATCCGCAGACTACAATTCCACGCGTCAACAACAATATCAGTTCCGGAGCGAACTTAGCAAATGAACTAAAGCAATCACCAATTGTTTTCCGATATTTTGACATTAACGGCTGTCCTAACCTTTTGTATGATATAAGTTCACCTTTAAAAAAACGCCACGGCTCCACCGATGAACGGCGGAACCGTTATACTATTATTTAATATTTATTATTTATTATCGACCTCATTACCTCATCCCCCTTTTAAAGATATTTAAAGACACTCACACAGCATTCAGGCAACAACAGAACAAACCAACAATCAGCCGAACAAATTATCATTTTCCGACCTGGACCGTGACTCATTTCGTTGTTGTTTCAAGTGACACACAGACACACTGAAAAAAAACAAACATCGTCTTATACAGACCCGGACGCAGACGCAAATGATTACACACACAGTTACACTTAAACATATACATAATTCACATGAAAAAGGCTGTAATTTTAAGAAGAAGACGATGCAAAGCTGCATGAAAAAAAACGGAGAAAAATGAATAAAAACAATAAATATTATACCTAGAATGTAAAACAGATGATCAATAAAAGCAAAAACCTTGCAAGTAATGCAAACGCAAAAAAAAAACAAAACACTATTAAACAGAAAATGGTATATTAAAGAAAACGAAGGCAGAAAAGGAAAATCTCTAAAAAAAAAAACAGTACTATTAACACATACACACTCACACTCACACTCACTGGAATGGTATGAAGAAAATGCGGAGAAGAACAAACAGAAGTAATGGTAATGTCAAATGTATTTAAGTGTAAGTGAAACAATACAAAAAAGAAAATAAAATCTATACATAAAAAAGAATATGGAAAAAAATAAAAATCCCAGGGGTTTTCACTGGTTTCAGCTATCCGAACGTCACTCAATAAATAATATGCTTAGCCTAATCTAGTCTAATATCACACTTCCAAACAACAGCCTACGCTAGTACTTCATCATCGGACGTCTGCTCCTCTTCCGGCCGAGGCATCTGGTGATTTTGTCGATTCTTCATCAGCACGTGGATCATCCTGAAATAGAAATCCCAATCAGTCCCTCAACCCGATCTAAATTTGATGTTGTGATGTCGCTGATAATGATTACTCAGTTTTATGTCGTTTTGGTCGGTTAAAATATCAAAATTGAGAGCAACAAAATCTTCCTGTGACATCACATTGAAAAGCAATTCTACTCTCCGGAGAACTTTGAAATTTGGGCGTAATAGCTTTTGTAAACATACATTTCAATCGCTGATTTCTCGCGAATAAAATAACAATCTCGTGAACAAACTATGCCAAATGGTAGATGAACCATTCAGGTAGATGAACGTGTTGTTAGTTTTTAAGATTGAGCTTAAGTTCGCGAGAAATCGTCCATTGAAGTGTTTGTTTACAAAAGCAATTACGCCCTAATCTTGAAGTTCTCCGGCTCTATCAACAAGAGCAAACTGAAAACTCAATTTGATGTACATTTTTCCTGTTGATAACAAAACGAGTATTCAATTTGATGTGAAATGAACTATTCGTTATCTTAAATAAGGTTCAGTCTTCTTACTCTATGCAAAAATAGGCTGGTTGTAGCCACAGAAAGTACGATGAAAGCTCGGTTGAAACAGGGATTGCTGAGGTAACATCCTATCCGAATCAAAAATATCTCCAAATGACAAAATGACAAGCGATCAACGAATCGAATGATAACGCTATGTCAGAAGTGGAAATCAATAGTGATATAATATTCTTCCTTTTTTTTCATGCCAAGCCCGTATGACACCAATGAGGTACAGAGAGAGGTGAAGCAGATCGTCAAATATGGTTGTATTAGTAAACCAACAAATCAACTTAAACGCAATTAGTGACCTGTATCGTACAGTGGTTTCACTCACACAACTTAACCGATTGCTTCAACTCGATAATACAGCTTATTGGTATGACACAGCTCACTCGGGGCCGTAGTAGGAAACGAGCAAATTGTTGGCAAGCTGCTTCACGAACTAAAGCCGAAGATGATACACGTGTGTTAGTGGGAGTTTTTTTGTTATGTTTTTTTCTCGATTCAGATCAAGCTCACTCCGGTGGTAGAAACGTCATCCACCAACATTTTGCTTGAAGCCAAAGTTTTTGGCTCTTTGGTTCGATTATCTTTCAATCTAAGACAGCTGATGCAAGCATTGAGCAATAAAGTTCCGGTCACATAAATGTTCGATTTGTTGCGCTACAAGATAATAATGAGTTTATGTTCAACACATGCGTGCATTGAGGAATCAAATGTGTATTGTAGCATTTTTTTAAAATTCGGCATGCTAATTATGAAAAATTCACATTTTATGAATGATAATACATAAATGATTTTTCAACGCACACGTGTCGTTAAAGCACGCATAAACATAACATAAATAGGCCTATTCTGCGCGGCGTGTGAGGTGAGGTGACAGTTAAGTGATGGTGAAGTGACAATTGTCACCTCGGGTGAGGTGACTCTCCATGCAAATCAAATGGAGAGTCACCTCACCTCACACGCCGCGCAGAATAGGCCTAAAAAACTGTAGGCTACAGTGCTGACACCACCAATGGTGGCGGCTTCAGCAACCCTTATTATTGGCAAAGGATTGATCAGGCTATGTCATCATCCATGCACATTGAAACGAAGCAGGCCAGTAATAAATTATTATCCTTCTACCACTCCGATTGAGCTACAGAGCAAGTTTGTCATGGTAGTCGTAGCAACCGTTTTGTCTGTATCGTTGGTTGCTCAATGTGTTTGGATCCGCTGTGCTGAACTACACGGTCTAATCCAAATGCTCTTGACCAGGGCTGACAAATGTCATTTTCAATGAAAGATCTCACGCGATATTTAAAGAGATACTTCTGTCACTATCATCGGATGAGAAAACGATGACAGAGATTTTCTTCAAAATATCATCGATTTTTTTTCATGACAAAACGTGACAGTGTTGTGATAATCGTGATTACTAGCTCATGTATTGCTATTAAAGTTACTTGTACCGAGGAAATCTTAAAAATATATTCACTCTACCAATTTCATATGGTTCCTTGCTTAAATTCATCTAAATCAGTTAGAAATGTTGATGTCAAAACCGCATAAGAATTATTCTCATGAGTGCTTGATCATTGGAAAATGACAAGAAAGCTAATGATCGGTCGCTTCGTCTCTTGATAGTGAGAGGACCTGTTTTCTCATTATCACATGACGGCCGTGATATTTACCAGCTCTGCTCTTGACTCAGTGACTTGACTCAGTCTGTCATGCGGCACTACGAATGGAAGTGATTAATCGTTGATTTTCAAGTGATTTGCGTTTTGAAACAAAGTGATTTGTCGTTGAAAAATATGTACTGTATAACACCTCTGAATCAAAATGATTATCATTTGAATTGGCACCACTGTTTTCATCCATTGAATTTGATAAGTTCGACAGTGAGCATGAGTAAGGGCGTATATGCGATGATCGATTCTCTTCATCGATTTTCTCTTTGCATTGCTACAGCTAAGCGAAGCAATTTTCTAAAATTTGTTCAATGCAGAGTTGTAACAGGTTATATTGGCTATCAAAAGCAACACCAAACGCACCGAGAATCGTTAATTCTAGCGAGTTATTAACAAAAGAGAAAATCGACGAAGAGAATCGATCATCGCGTTTACGCCCTTATGCATGCCCACTGTCGAGCTTTCCTTTTGGAAGCAAATGTCAAAAACGCACATGGCAAACATTACTCGCGAAGATGGCAAGTCAACAACAAATTAATTAAGAGCAAGTGATAATTCTCCATTTCCACCCGAAATAATTTGCATTTTACGAAATCGTTGCTGCATTCAATAAAAGTGTATTATTCAGATAAGTTTTATTACAAAACATTGTCAAACTTATCAAATTGATTGCTCAATGTTACTTCTACTACAAGCCTTGTAATGTTGTTCAATATAACTTGGACACATGTGATCGGGGTAGTAATACGATTTATGTTCTATGGTTATATTCTGAATAACATATAACAAGGCTTGCAGCACAAACAAAGTTAGTTTGTGCTTGCAGTATGAACAAGGCAATATAATATTTAAATCCATATTCAGCAAACATGAAAGCCAAGGATAAATTAGTTAAATTTAAAGTGATAGTTTTTAAATATCAGTATGCTTGACATTTTGAGTTCAAAGTACAGCACATCAACGACGATGTGCAATACAATCTAAAATAAAGTGATTTTCTGTTGATTTCATCGTGCTTCGATATGATCTCTTCCAAGGGATTTGCGCATCGATTTGCAATGTTTGGCAAGTAGTGCAAATTCAACAGCAAATCACTTTACATGAACATGATGTTTTTTTTTTACCGTGTGCCTATGCTCGGGAAACCTTTCCCCCATCGCATCATACTCACCCAACAAACAGCACATTCACCGCGTAGATGCCCGACGCCACAAAGTTGAACGCCTCCGGTGCCGTCGTCAGCGTCCGATTGTAGATATAGGTAAACAGTGGCGCCGCAGCCAGCGGGACCATCGCCGTCATCGACATGGCCATCGAGTACACCTTGGCAATGTCATGCGACGGCAGTATGCTGGACGAGAGCGTCATCAACGCTGCACCTTCCGTTCCCTTGAGGGGTGTCACCCCCGTCGCCAGGTACAGCTGCCACCCGTGGCTGGCCAGTCCCTTGATGAAGCTATCGCCGGAGAAGCACAGCACCGACACGAAAGCGATTGCAATGTCCGGCAGTTTGAATAGCTTCTTCAGAATCAGGATTCCCAAAAAGTTACCGGCAATGATCGACGCCAGATCGGCCGACTGCCAAATCGTGTACTCCTCCAGCGTCCAGCTGAACTTCTTCCTCGTAAACAGGTAGAATATGTTACTGCCACCGGACCCCAGCACCGAGAAGGCCCCGATGGTCACAGTTAGCCAAATTATCCCCCGATCATACCCGGACCGCGCCTTGCAGAACGTGTTGAATATATCCATCACCAATCCGAGGCGGAAAATCTCCCGGAACTTGCCCCAACTCCCCAACGAAGATACATCCACCCTCGTCCGATCCACACTATCCTCGATCAAAAAGAACACATAACCCATCCCGAAAAGCATCATGCAGGCGGAGATCATGAAAACCGTTCCGGCACTGGTCCACTCGAGCACAAAACTACTGGACAGCATTCCGATGAAGGCACCTCCCAGTGTGGAACCCTGGAGGATTCCCATACGGATGGCACGGTTCTGCTCGCTGCTCACATCGGCCAGGTAGCTGAACATACCGGCGCATAGGACCGTAGTGCCACCGCTGATGGCCGCCGGTATGTCACCCACTACGAAGAGCCACGGGTTCAGCGGTATGCGGTCAGCTATCCGGCAGAGGATGGCTCTGGTGATGTAGGTGACGGTGTAGCCTGCGAAAATGTTTCGATTCATTAGGAATTCGTCATATTATTGCGTGCATTTCGTTCGATAATCATCATTCCGGATTCAAATGTTTCTGGTTTTCAACATTTTGGTTTGATCTTTTAGAAAGATGGGATTTTTCCCCCCATCTTGGTTTTGAGGAATTGAACAATTAATGACGGTAAGGTCCATCGAGGATTGCACGCGATTTAATATAGATCTAGATTAAATGTTAAACTTTTAGCGGGCGCGTCAAAAAAGGCACGTAATCAGTATAGTCGCTATATTCATAGTCTGGCGGATAGAATCTCGGGAACCAATTGAGTTGTCAAATAGCGGAACCAATCGAGCAAATCACGACTAACAACAGAAAAGAGCACATCAGCTATTGCGAGCAAAACTTCGGAAACCCTTTTCTCGTGACTCAAGGCTCGCCTACGCAAACTAACACCATCTTTGGGTTGATGAAAGTTTACCCTATCCGGTGATGCTTTTAATTTGCGTTCGATTATCGAGGAAAGAATAATCAATGTTTTGTTTATAAAAGTTGATAATACCTTTTCAATTATTGGTCTAAAATATATTGAATTGGTTCCACTTTTTGATAGATCGAAATTCTATCCGCCAGACTATGAATATAGCGACTATAGTAATCAGGTATGTCGTGTACTGAGAACATTGCGAATAATTCCAGTTATAGCTCTTGAACTATACCAGATAGAACGATGGAGAATGCAGTCGAACAATACCCGTGTGGCAGTGGCCAGTCACTAGGTGGCGTTAGAGTGCAAATAAACGTTTTAAATGTATATCTCAGGAAGACCAGATAGAAGATTCATGTGTTGAGCAAAGTTGTTCAATTGGACGAGACGTGTTTAGTGGTATCTAGTATAGTTGGGAACTGACTCACTAGGTTGCGCCCGAGTGCAAATAAAATCACTACTGCGTTACCTGACTTATAGCGGAAATCTTTTGAGTTGGTTCCGTTCGTATCTTACTGGTCGCCAACTTATGGTTGCTATAGGAGATTGCAAATCAGCTAGCTTCTTTGCCACATCAGGTATACCGCAGGGAAGCCATCTGGGACCGTTGATTTTTCTACTCTACTTCAACGACGTGAACCTGGTTATCGAAGGACCTCGATTAGCATATGCAGACGACCTCAAAATATTTTTACGAATTTGCTCGATCGCTGACTGCCACAATCTTCAACATCAGCTTAATGTCTTTGCCAGTTGGTGTACTTTAAATCGAATGGTAGTGAACCCAGCAAAGTGTTCTGCCATAACGTTCTCACGAAAAAAGCAACCGATTGTATTCAGCTATGACCTGCTTGGAACGACACTCGAACGCGTGAATCAGGTGAAAGACCTGGGTGTGGTGTTGGATTCACAGCTAACATTCAGGCAACACATTTCTTATGTCATCAATAAGTCGTCTAGGACTTTAGGATTCATCTTCAGGATAGCTAAGAATTTCACCGATGTCTACTGCTTAAAATCTCTTTACTGCTCCCTCGTACGATCGACGCTTGAGTATTGTTCTGCGGTTTGGAATCCGAATTACAACAATGGTGCCGAGAGAATCGAATCTGTTCAACGTCGCTTTCTTCGTTTTGCGCTTCGTAGACTGCCCTGGAGAGATCCGCTTCGGCTGCCCAGCTACGAGAGTCGCTGCCAACTGATAAACCTTGAACCTCTCCGGATTAGAAGGGACACCAACAGAGCTTTGATTATCGCCGACACTCTACAGGGACGAATAGATTGTGAGGCTATCCTAAGGCAAATTGACCTAAACGTGCAACCCCGACCACTCCGTAACAACCTCATGCTGAGACTGCCACTGCGTCGCACGAACTACGGGGCATATGGTGCGATTTGTGGACTACAGCGTGTGTTCAATAGAGTCGCATCTGTATTCGACTTTCACCTCACACGTGATGCGCTTCGTCGGAGATTCTCATCTGTTTTCGCCGGCCGCAGTGACTGACAGAGAAAATTAGTGTATTTCCATTTATGTTTTTTTTTACATTCTGACCATGTTGCTTTGTTTTTCTTTCTGTGATTATTTGACATGTAATTTTACTATTATTATTTTTATGATTAGTATTATTAACATCATTTGGGCTACAGCCAGCCTGTTGATGTATGGCAACAATAAACAATAAACAATAACGAATATACGTTGTATACGAGTACCCTGAATACGTATAGTTCGTCTAATTTTACATTGCAAATGCCATGCAAAATTAGACGAGTCATACGTTCTCGGAAAAAAATCCGTTCCCGAAAACGGGAACGGACCGTGAACTAAAAATCACGGCCAGCTATCCAGAACAAAATTGTCTCAAATATACACCGTGAACTATGGTTCACGGCTGTGGTTCACAAATATGGGAACTCTTTTTTCCCGTGTTGTATTCGGGGTACTCGTATACAACGTAAATTCGTTATAAGTCAGGTAACACAGTAGGCGGCGCCAGAATACAAATAATCTACTTCTATAGATATCTTAGGATGGCCACCAGATAGAAGCTTCGAGTCTTCGGAAAAGTTGTTAAATTGGACAAAACTCATTCAGTAGTGATTATTTTAGTAGGGAATAGATTCACTAGGTGGTGTGCAAATAAACTTCTTCTATTGATATCTCAAGATCAAGATCAGGTATAAATTTCATGTTTTGAACAAAGTTGTTCAATTGGACAACATCCATTCACTAGTGGTTAGTTTAGCTGTAAATTGACTCACTAGATGTCACCAGAGGGCAAATAAACTTCTTTCAGTGATTACTCAAGATCGAGACTAGATAGAAAATTCATTATTTCAGGTAAGCTGCTCAATTGGACAAGATCAGTATAGTGGTACGTACACGCAGGGAAATGAACATAAGAAATCCAAAATTTAAACATTATGCAAACTCAAAAATGAAGGAAGAAAATCATTCATACATCACTTATGCGTTTCATATAAAACATCTCAGTTTTCATTATTTGGACATAAGCCATTCATGCGCCACAGGTTTGAATTTCATAATGCGGTTTTTGAAATTTGGAAGAGTGTTTATATGAAAAAAAAATCATAAGGAACGTAATGAAATTCAGACCGTACAGAGCCAAAACTCAAGATGGAAGTGGTTATAGAAGAGCAAACGTTGCTGCAGGAGTTCTTAATTGAAGTTCCTGCCGATTGTTTGACGTTTCTTAACGGTAAGTATACAATATTTATTAATTTTATTGTTAATATTTGAAAACAAATCGATAGGAATCGGCTGTAACATAGCGGGATTGCTAACCGTAACCAGTTATGGCATTGGATTTTGGATTGTAGACGACGAAACGTAAGTTTTCTAATTTCTTCATTCCTCGACATCATCGTTTATTAACATTAATTTATATATCCTATAGCACCTCAATAATTTAATTTCGCCTGAGCAGCAACCGGAAGAAGAAATTCCAAATTTCATTCTGGAGGAGGAACAGTGGGCAGACGGATCTAACGATGAGGAACCAAACTGCGAACAAAACAGTTCTCCGTTAATTTTATTATTATACATTTTCTGAAATAATCCAAAATCGAAAACATGGCTAACTTTCGGAAACGAAAACTATTTTATCGAACAATTAATCAAAAGATCGATAACAATTTTGTAAACAATGACTAGAATCGTCAATTTATCAAAACTGATAGTTCACCCACGCAAACTAGCACCACACCATCAAGTAGGGGAAAGTTATTCCCACCCCATGGTGGTGTTTTTTCTAGCGTAGCAGGATTGATAAATTTACGATTGTAGTAATTGTTTACAAAATTGATAACGACTTTTTGATTTTTTCTTGTGTCTTCATATCATTGAGAACAAATATAATTTTCATAGATTTGTATGCTGGACTACATAAAAATTAAATAAAAATTTCTCAAACTGATGTATACATTTTAAAATTATGCATTACGTTTTTCTTTCGCTTGGTGACAATATTCATAATGTATATTTTCATGTATGTATGTTTCAATTTTCAAAATTCTTAATGCATCATTATGAACTAAAATGTATTATTATGATTTTATGACCAAATCCTTATGAAATACATACGAATTGATTTGCCCAAGAAATTTGATTTCATAATGTGTGAAATTGAACATCATGAAAATTCCTTGTGGCTAAATTTCAAAAGGTATTTTAATGAATATCTTATATGCATTTTTCTGCGTGTAGTAAAGATAGACATTGACTCACTAGGTGGTGCCCGAGTGCAAATAAACACACTAGGGGGCACCAGGGTTTAAATAAACTTCTTCTATCGATATCTCAGGATTGATACCCGATAGAAGCTTCGTGTCTTCAGCAAAGTTGTTCAATTCCGTCATTTGTCCTTCCCTAACATTTCAACGTGGATGCACATCTGTCTTTTATGAGCGTCCCCTTATGTACGTACAGAGGGGAGTTCCTATTCACGGAATGATTTGTTGCCAATATTTCATTTTACCTGATTGCTAGCCACAAATTTTTTTTCGAAAAAATGTGCTCTCATTACAACGAATTTTATTTTTTAACTAATATTTTATTGTGAACCTATTGTGGTGACAATTTGATAACTAGACGAGTACAATACAATTACAATAGGGTTAATTGTCAACGATAGGATGTGTTGTATTTTATTGCTTTTTTTATTGTAAATTTATGGATATTTTTATCCAGGAGGCCATAAGGATACTGCAGCTGGTGAATAATATTATTGTCCAAATTTCAGTTCATAGTAGTGTGTTCGTGTTTCACGGAGAAGCCACGCTGGTATCATATGTTCCAAAAATGAATCGTGGAGTAAAATTTCTATATACAATGCATGACCAACCTGATGTCGAAGAATCATCCGGCAAGCCAATTATCATCCTTGACTACAATGATACAAAAGGTGGAGTTGACACCGTCGATAAAATGTTTGCTGCTTACTTTGTGTCAGGGAAAATTCGACTAAGATATAAGCTCTATAAGAATTTAATGCGTTTGTCTTTTGTATCTCTTTATTAGTTTTTGTTTGTCTCGCCCCTCGTCTCGATGAGTCTGATCGTCGCCCACTGGTACCCATAGCCCATAGTAGCCGAAAAGCTACTACCTAGCTCCTCCCCTTATCCTATCCTTCGAAAATGTATCCCTCTAACCTCGGGAAAGACCGCGAGTATTCGGCCCAACTCTTACTAGATATAGAATTAAGTAAATTTTGTTGCAAACAATGAACAATTGTCGGCTTCGTAAAGCTAACGCGATTGAGCCTTCTTAATAAACGAACTTATTAATCGTGACGCCATTTGATTTAATAGCGTTTTCACAAGTTAATATTTAACCGTAGTTAAAAAAAAACAAAGAAATGCAACAGACCCATTCGAGTATCAAATCAAGCTGAATAGTAAGAACAGAAGCTGATTATTGGCTGATTTATGGTGTACAGGGCTGATTTTTTTTCCTCTGTTCGAGACCTAACACTACTGCGATCAGTAAATTGATTTATTGTAGTATATCCCGTGTCCTTAGTTTAGTGCATGTCGTATTACTCCATCCCTATTGTGAAATGATGAACTATTCGATTTGTTTACAGTTGCCACTCTTGCATTTATCGCAGGGATCCGACTCTAATTGAAAGGTTTCGCTATTTATACCCTTCGGAGTGTTGAAACACCCTCCAAAGGCGCGCCCCTTTGTCAGACAAAATTGGATTCCTTAGCAACAAAATTAAGGTATGACACTGATAATGACAATGCATCAGAACCCTAGTCTTAACCACTTCAAACTAGGGAACAACCAATAGAAGATTAGGAATCACATAGATGACGACAACTAACTCATTTTTTCCTTGTTTCAAGATCATCATCCATTGGTAGACAAAGCCGAGTCTAGTCACTATCAACAAGGCATCAAAAGTAACAAGAACTAAGATGTGTTCCTTGGATTACTGAAAAATCCTGTTCCCCTAGTTTGAAGTAGTCAGGACTAGGAATCGGTGGTAGATCTTACATCCCGTAACGTACCACGAAAAGGTGATTAACATCCAGCTGAATATATAAATGATTAGTAGTGCATGAAGCGAAAAGTATCCCCATAATCCAACCTCAAGAAGTTAGCTGATCTAAAGATTGAACAAGCCTAATTGAAGCTTAACACTACTCCTGCACATATTTTGATAGCTTGATTTGTTAAATGTCGTCAGTATCTGTGTCATTCGTTGCATTTCCGGCATTTTAGTTCTTCTAAATTCACCTCTCTAATTACAAACAGTGGCACCAGTAGAGACAAGGAAGAGGAGATTTTTAGGAATAGCTCCAGGTAGATGTGGGCTGCGACGACGTCGGAAGTATTAACATTTGTATTCCTGTATTTTTGTCTGTTATATTGCACTGGATTTTCCGACCGCATTCCAAAAACATTACGCAATTAGGGTTAACTACCCCATTTCCGGCCTATTAAGCACAACCCACACTTCGTCTTTCTTAATCTAGCGCAGTTTAGCACCAAACGGAATGTTATTATTACTGATGGCTTCTAAATTTATTTACCTTTCCGTACGTACCGTAAGATTTGATAAAGAGATACCAATCGTTGAGATATTGTCAAAAGTCTAACGCTGCTTCTTGACGCCAAACTCGGCCTAACGCATTGAAACGCTAATGAATTCACTTCGGCCTATCGGATGAAGGTAAAAATTGATTCGGGTGGAGCGCTTCTTTTGTTTCTGCGAATCAAGTCAATGATCATACCTTTTGCCACACATATGCTTAAGTGGTCCAGTAGGTATGGTTGACACCTGTTAATCAGTGAATGCCGGTTCGAGTCCCGAAATGCAAAGGCAATTTTTAGACTTATGTTAACAATATAAATATGTAAATCCAATTAGTCAGCAACCAGTTAAAGCAGTTCCATATAAATGCATAAGATATGAAGTGGACTTCCATTATTATTTTTAAAATAAAACTAGAAGGCTGAACAAGGGTTGGAAAAAAATGTTATTCAATTCGTTAAAAAACTTATAATGTATATTACTGTTACGCTTTCGGCTGATTAAAATCCATAGATTCAGATGTTTAAAAGCTGAACAAAGGTTAACGTGGTCTATGTACAGCAATTATTCAATCTTAAGCTGAATTTGATTAAACAACACTTGTTAGGAATCAAATAGTTACTTATGCACCACCCTCACACTCCTAGGCACCCTCCAGTAAAATTATCTAGCAACGCCAATGAAAATATACCTCTTCGTCAAAAGGTTTTATTGATATGTCATGCTCTACCAAGTAGCCAACTTAGTAGCTAATTTGCATTTTTGCAATATAAGGTTGATTTACGGCTGATATAGGGCTTCGAAGCTTTATATTAGCCATACATCAATCTAATATTGGAATTAAGTGGATTAGCAGGCATGTTTGTTGTTTGGGAAAAATGTTGATTATGGTTCTGCTTGATTCTGCTACTTAAAAATATCTCAGTCCTTCCGCAAACTTACCCACACACGGTATGATCATCACTGGTTTCCTTCCAAACTTGTCAGACCACGGACCCAAAAAGAGCCCACACAGCGCCGGAACAACGGACATGATGATGCTGCTGGCCATGGTAATTTTTGCCACCGTCGGTTGCACCACCGATTCCAGCTCTTTGGCCTCGCTCGAGTTGGAATTCATCCCTAATAGTGCACAAGTACTTGCATCGTATCCCATGTACATGCACGTTTGATGAATAACCTGATTCGCCAAAACGATACCTTCACATTCGGAGATGCAATTCATAAAAAAAACAACACAAAGAGAACACAATCAGTGAATTTTTCGCCAAGTCACCCGCGCCAAGCCTAACCTGATATGCTCCATCCGAAGCAAAGTGCCACCGCTACAGGTTCTAGCGAAAAGCATGGTAACTTTTTGCCCGCGTCACTAGCCACCGAGGTGGAACCACTATCCGATCCCAGCAGAAGAGGAGTATCTTCATCACAATTGTTAACACTAGCGGTAGATCTGCTACCTTCACTGTCCATGGTTGATTCGCGATTGGCTCACGGACGCCAAGTTCTGGATAAAGGAAAGCTTCCCTTTGTTTGTTCGCCACACCGTTATTACACGACACTCATACCTTATCTCGCGTTGTAAATTACTACTCGATACGTTACAATTGAACACATTATCGATGATGAATTGCTTCCTAATCTCTTGAGATAGTCTAAAACTTTCTATGAATCACTCTTCCATCAAAAATGTTTGGGATGCACCCCATGAATCACCTAGACCTGCGATCAACTAGATCGATAGATAACGGAAGATATATTACGCGGGCATGCTTCTAGTTGCAAACTGCGAGTGGGACTGAGCTAGAGGCTCGTGACTTCAAACAAATCGCAAACTGCTGTCTAATCGATATCGGAAATGGGGTACCACACAATTTGTTTACAACCTGCAAATCATCATCACATTATAAACAAATCATCACAACAAGAATTCCATCCACTGCAGGAGGCGCGGTTGTTGAAACGTACGCCACAGATGCGGGTCAGCAGTGCCAATGTCTCACGATCAAGATTATGCGAGTAGGCAACCTACGCGCAAGCGTTGCAATCTTATCGCAGTTCCAAGCGAGTACTAACAAACAGAATCAGCTGGTCGCGACGCCTGGGCAGAAACTACAAAGAAATCTATCAACATTCGACGCGGTCTCCCGTACACGCAACTCTTTTTTTACACGGTTATAGTTTTCTCCTACGACGGATTCAAAAATTCATGTATTTTGTATTTTGCTGTGTTCACTATATAAAAAAAAATAAAAATTTACCCGCGTAAACAGAAGGTTGGGTGTATTGCAATTGGCATTGCACCGAACGGAGTTTGAGGCTCCAAGCGTATACGAATGCATCATTAGAACGGATTGGACAGCAGAGTTGTATTTAGAGAAGAGCCGGTGCATAAGTGTTGTGATTGGGCACAGCTTGAGTACAACCCTGAGCTGCTGTGAAACGAACACGGAACAAAGCGTAATGACGGTTATTACGGTGAGAAGTTCCAGTGAAGTCGCGCGGCAAACTAAATGTCGTGCAGCGGTGATGTAAGTTTAGTAGGTAACATCTGAAACGGAAAGAGATCGGTCATGAGCTATGTTGTGGGCTCTTTACTGAATAAAGTCCGATCAAATGAGAGAATTTATTTGCATGAAATGGTAGATTGAACATTTGGTAACTTAATATAAAATGATTAATAGTCAAACAAACTAGAGGTTTCACGAGAAGTTCACTAGTCCAGTGGTTCTCAACGTTTTGCAACCCTCTTTGATAAATTATACACGCTCACGACCCGCCTCTACTACAGGGTGCGTGACGAATTTTTGCAGTAAATGGTCTATTTGAGAAAAAATACACCAGTTAGTTATTCTAGCAATGAATTTTGTGCGATTTATTTTCTTTCGCAACATATGGAAGTTGCAAGTAAATTTATTCAAAAAAATTGCCTTCCCTTTCGACGACGTTAGTTAGACGCTTCCGGAAACTGCAGTATGCACGTTTTAAAATGTTTCGATCCATAGATGTCATCACTGCCTTGATTTTAGCTTTTAGCGACTTAAGTGTGGTGTGAGGGGTTCTAATGGTACGACGTTGGACGACGCCCTATACAAAATAATCCAACGGATTGATATCGGGACTGCTTGGGGGCCAAATTTCTTCCTCCCAAATTTACGAAATATTTTCCGTAAGCCATTTCTGTGCTTTATTAGCAGTATGAGCAGGTGCTCCGTCTTATCACTTTCCCAAGCCTTTTTTAATATTATACACTGTTCTTTCAGACACATTTACCGACCGAATTATTTCTCTCATGCATACTCCGGCGCGCAACAAAGCGACAACGGCTGACAGATTGCTCTCTTGTTTCGACATCTTTACGTTTACTCAACATTGTTTGTTTAAATCTTACACCTAACAGTATAAGCTATCCAGTGCTGCCAAATATATCTAAATCATGATCCACAAGCATGAGAAATTACTATTTGAAATTTATTGCAAAAATTCGTCACGCACCCTGTACAAACAGATGTTGTAAACCCAAAATGACATAAAAATCTAAAATGGGTTTAAAACGCCAAAACAGGCTTAAAATGCCATGGCAGGAAACGGCTTAAAATTCCAAAATAGCCACAAAAAAATACAAAACATTTTAAAATAGCTACAAACGACCAAACTGCACCTAAATACCAAAACAGTCTAAAAATGGCCTTAAATGTGCGAAAATGATCAGAAAACATTGAAAGAGTCAACGAAACGCATGAGTAAAAACGAGAAAGTTGTATTAAAACTAAATAGCAATGCACCTCTAACCGGTCTAATGGTTAAAAGAAACGTGACTCCGGGCCAGCTTGCGATGCCAAAAAGACTTTAAAAGCGCCAAAAATAAGGCCACACTGAAATTGCTTTTATAGGTTCCATCTTCGGATGGATTTCTGATACCAGGATGCACGTAGTAAAGCACTTCTGGGGTCTTCTGGTCCAATGGTTTCCAACACAGTCGAGCCTCCGTAAAATTTGAATGATTATTTTGCTTAATGACGTGTTCAGGGTATCATCCAAACCATTTGTGGAATAGTTCTAGTTCGTCGTTTTTCTGGATCATGATCAGCAATCCAATGCTTTACTGAGAAACAGCAAACGATAGTTTTACTGAAAAAATCAGCTAACAAACATAAACCAACACCCAGTCAAAGAGCATTACAGTCGCAAGTATTTTTGCATTCGTACACTCAAAAATATTATAAAACGAATATAGATTAAAATGTATGCATTTTATGGATTTTCAAAATTTATACATTGGTTCGATTAAAATTTTCGTCAAAATTATACTAAGTCCGAATAACAGAGTGGAATTCGATCAGTGTTTACTAAATGATAGGAAAAAGATCACCTGGTTGATCTTCAGAGCTTCGTGCTGGTGAAGAGCTTCGTCTCGGCGGATTTACACAGCGCATGTGATCAGCTGTGCAGCTAGACTGCGTGAGCACGAGCTCATCCTAATGAACATCGAAAAGGTATGTATTTTTTAAATAATATTCATTAAAATAAAATAATTAAAAAACCTTCCTGAGACAATTTTAATTTTGATTTGAAAACAATAATATTTGATTTGAAAACAATAATATTTACCATAAATAAAATAAAAAAGCGAAAAATACATTCTCTCGAATAAACCGTATCTATGCATTGTAAGTATATTTCGATTTTATACTATGGCACGTATAAACCATTTTTATACTAAGTTTGCATTCTCTCCCTTTATACCGACCTTTGCGTCGGTACGGAGAGTTGCGATTTAGCGTAGCTTTTATACTATTTAGATTTCAATATTTTTTGAGTGTACACCACCGGTCAAACCGAAGGAGGTGAAAGAGGTAAAAAAAACTACAAATAAATAAAATTATGTACACGGTAAGAAAAAAGACCCAACGGCCAGTTCACTTTTACCTACTTTTGACTAGTTTGTCTCCTTTTCTCATTTTAATTTTGTCAAAAACAGAGGAGGAAAACCACCCAACAGGGGTAGTAAAGTGTGGGAACCCAACGTTGATTATAATCATATTTACCTACTTTTGGGCTCAATACTAGAAACTCAAAAAATTTCACACTAGCGAATCATTCTTCGAAAAATCTTCTTTATATCTATTCAGCATGTGCGCAGCTAGCCACAGCAAAACACTTTCTTTCCTGCAACGTAGATAGAGTTGTCCCCCTCGGTTTAATGAGCAAAATGCTGCCAAATGTCAGCATTTTGAATTGCTGAAAGATCAGTAAACAAATATTGCTGAATTTCAGTGAAAGGTTGTCTCACCAACTCGCTCAGTCATTCCCACCCCAAAAGCCAATGAAACAACCCGTGAAGCTAGCAAGTTCCGGCCAATAGCTTTGACATGCTGTAAGGCCAAGGTCCTGGAGCGAATGGTCAACAGGAGGCTAAAGCATTTCCTTAAAGCCGAAAACCTGCTAGACCATCGACAGCACGTCTTCCGTCAAGGGTACGGAACGTCAACTTATTTTGCAACATTAGGGGAGGTCCTCAAGAGTGCCAACGATAGCGGTCTCCACACCGAGATCGTCTCGCTGGATATATCGAAGGCCTTCAACAGGACGTGGACGCCCCTCGTCTTAGAGCAGCTTGTGAACTGGGGGCTGTGTGGACCCATGGTCCACTTCATCTAAAATTTCCTGACCGATCGCTCTTTCAGAGTCGCAGTGGGCAACACGAGATCCCAGCTTTTCAGAGAAGAGACGGGAGTCACACAAGGTTCAGTTATCGTCGTTACCCTCTTCCTTGTTGCCTTGAACGGAGTTTTCGGATGACTGCCGAAAAATGTTTACATTTTCGTGTATGTAGACGATGTACTTATCGTAACTACCGGCCCAAAAGCAGCACGCAACAGGATCAAGGCCCAGGCAGCAGTCTCCGCTGTAGCCAGGTGGGCCAGCGCAGTAGGTTTCCAGCTTTTGGCCACCAAAAGCGTCAGGTGCCACGTGTGTCCATCCTGGCACCGTGTCAGCGGGCCACCTATTAAAGTTCAAAGCCAGCCCATACCTTTGAAGAAGACGGTACGTATTCTGGGGGTACTTGTTGACCGGTCCCTCAACTTCGAGCAGCACTTTAAGGCGATCAAGAACAACTGCCGCAGTAGGATCAACTTGACCCGCACTATCTCTCGCCCCCACCGGTCTAACAATCGTGACATTCGTTTCCGGGTTGCAAGAGCCGTCATCGATAGTCGCCTACTGTACGGTCTTGAGATGACGTGCATCGCCACCGAAAAGCTCGTGCAGATACTAGTACCAACTTTTAACACCTACGTTCGGATTGTCTCCGGTCTTCTTCCGTCAACGCCCGCCGATGCCGCATGCATCGAAGCGGGTATTCTGCCTTTCCGCCATCGTATAACCGCAGCAATTGCAACGAAAGCCGCTGCCTTTACCGCAATGACCTCCGGAAATAACAGGATCTTTCTCCTCGATGAAGGGAACAGACTCCTCCGCATGACTGCCAATTCGGAGCTCCCCCCAGTGGCCAAGGTCCACTGGTACGGAAACAAAAGTTGGCGCATACCTCCACCAAAAATCGATAGTCGGATAAAAAGCAGGTTCAAGGCTGGAGATAACTCTGCAGCGCTGAA